AGGCTTCAGGGACAATGACCTTCATTTTAAAATAGGAATTATTCCACTTTACAGGGTTGTTATAATAATTGTGAGGATAAAGTCAAATAATGAATGCGAAAGTAGCTTTTAAAATCAGTAAATGCCACCAAATGTCAAGTAATATTATTCCAAATAGCATTTGGGCTCTATAATGGTACTTGCCAAGCTCTGTCTAGAAATATAATTAGTTGCTATTCCTCCTTGAGGATGCCCTCCACATCCTGAACTAAAGTTTTTCAGGTGAACCGTGTCTTTTTTACTTTTATTTGTAATTCCCTCCAGGCCCTGTCGTAGCAGCTTTTATGTAGCGGCTGTTTCATCAGTACTTCTTGAACTAGATTACTTATAATAAACTATTATTGTCTTCGTCAAACTTTTTTTCTACCATGTGGTACTGAGAAAATTCCAAGTGACTGAACTTTTTGTTTTTTAACCAAAGATAATAAGAGGTACAGTGTATGTTTACCAAAGATCTGACATTTTAATGGTACCCTTTTAACTAGTTCACTTTTGCATGAAATGTGAGGACCACAGACTCAGATGTAAGAAATGTCACAAATTGGAAAGTAAGAGTTTAAGAACCAAGTTTTATATAATCAGTTTAATGCCACTGAGGGTGAATTAAGAGAAAAACAGGACACATCTATGAATTGTTTAAGTCCACTTTGGAGAGCTTTTGGTCTCTTCTAGGATTTCCTGGAGCCCTGTAGACTGTTATTCACCGTCCACATATGCATATATAAAAATATACCATCTATAAATAGCCACCTGCCTTTTCAGTGAAATTAAAGATGGGAGAGTTGGAGAGAATTTCCCAGTATAATTACAGAGTTCAAACTTACAGCTGTTACACTCGTACAGTTCCACCCAGAGAATTTCTAATATCACTATTTTCTATCACGCATGTTTTTTAAAATTCTATTTTTTTCTATAATGGTAAGATGTTATCAACAGGACATTTATTTCTTGCCAAGATTTCTCACATACCTACTTTAAAAGATTAGGTGTTGCATGCAGTTATTGTGTAGACTAATTTTGTTTTATAAACTGCAGAAAATTTTCACAAGTGTTTCTGCTCCTTATCTAGGGATTAACACCAAACTCCTGCCAATGTTTTTCTTAACCTTTATGTATAACCTTTACGCATGCCCTTTCACAAACACTCTCTCACATATTTTCTGCTTAGATGCGCCTCCTTAAAAATCCTGAGCTTCTAAAATTCTTAGGTAAGAATCAGCTGCATAAGGACACACCACAATGTGAAAGGAATTAAACTGAGCACTTTTATCTTTGCTTACAAAAAAAGCAGGTAGTAATTTATTCATACACAGTCTTTGTTCCCTCACTAAAGACCAACGCTCTTCAGTCTTTGAGAGCCCTGAAGGACCAGTCAGTCCTGAAGAGGAAAGGGACACGTTTACAGGAGCAGTCACGCAGCTCTCCCCACAGAAGCGTCTAAGTGCTTTTAGCAGTTAATTTGTGAGCAAAAAACCCTGTTGGGAGCCTTCCACCTACTCTAAAAGCAAACATTCTTAACAGGCGGTATTAGTGTGGTGTTAAAAGAAGCATGCTTTAACCTAAAAGGTGTCATTTTATGAGCAAAAACTGGATAAACACTAAGAGACTTGAAGTCGCTATTTTTTCCTTTCCTTGATGCCCAAATCTTCACAGGTTAAAATGACCTCACACCCATTGTGATGTTCAAAACACAGGAGGATCTTAAAACAGCTTTGCACAGAGCACAGTGGCGCGACTTCCTCCTCTCCCGGTGAGGACTGTCTGTCACTGGTTTTCATTCTGTGTGTTTGTAAAACACACCAGCCATGTGTGTGAGCCTGTTAATTAAAACGAAAACAGAACTGTTTCTGTTGAGCTTTAGAAGTACAGAAACTTAGAGCCGAAGAAGGAAGGAAAACAGCAGCATTCATTCTGCTGCAGGGTCTCAATGGCTGCTTGAGAATGAGGTGACTGACTATATGATGAAAAGCCAGGGAACAGGCACCTGAATTAAAGAAGAGAGGCGAGTGAAAAAGAAAGAAAAAAAAAACTAGTGAGGCTTGGAATTGGAAGTATTTAGAATGCCTTTATCATTTCCCTTAGGGACTTTAATATCAAAGTGCCTGGATAATGTAGGCTTCTCGGTCTAATCTGATTCCAAAGTTAGCCTCTCGGACAAGAGGAAAGAATAGCTTCAGTGGCTTCTGAGGCCATTCTGGGGTCAGTCATGGAGTCTATTCCTGCCAGAGCTGCTGAGTCACTGCCACCTTCACTGCCACCTCGGGGAATCACTTGACCTCTGGTTCTGATGATCTAAAAGGTAGAGTCAAGCTTAGAGCTGAGAAGGCTTCATATGCAAGGCTCCTGCTATTATCCAGAGTCATCTACTGACTCCCAGCCATGTGAATCCAAAGGACTTTAGGTATTAACAATTTGGATACGGGTAATCAAGGATACAAAAACACCAATCAGTTGGAGGAGGAAAAAAAAAACAACTCACTGAATTCTACCCAAGGAAAACATCACCAGAAAAGCTGACCAAAAATATGTTCTAGTTCTCTTTCAAATATGGACTTCATCTCTGAAGGGCAGTACAAACATGGGTCAGACAGCACCTCTCTAAAGATGCTTATTCTGTATCTTCAATCAGTTATCCAAGGCAGGATGTGAAAAGGCTTAAGGGAGTGTGTGCTGGGTGGTTTGGTGCAGGAATCAGCAACAGAAAAAACTTAAGAGACAGTTAAGGCATTCATTACACTCTATTTTAAAAGGTAAAGAAAAAAGACCTCAATAATATATAACCTGTTCCTCTATGAGGGACCCATCCAATGGTGTCCCTCTGTACCTTTTCTCCATAATACAAAGTTCGGTTCTTTGGCTAAATGATACACAGGCACTGTGAACTAAATAAACGTTCCCTTTGTATTTTAAAAAAATTTATTTGTGATCTGTACATGTGATAAAGTGGGGCTTCCTTGTAGACTTTTAAAGGCAAAACAAAACAAAACAAAAATCCAAAGTAAAAATGTATAAATACAATATATATTTTCTTACAAAAATGGGAGATTTACAAAATATACATACTGCACTTATCTCTATTTTACAAATTTCACATGCAAGAGATACAACACAAAAGATGTCAAAAAACTGTAGTGGGAGTTTAAAAAATCTGACAAACGAGACAGTTTTGGAGGTTTAAGAAACACAAAGTCAATGTTAACCTTAAAATAAAAAGCAGCTCCACTCAACTGAACATTACATACCTAAAGTAACTTGTACTCCTTACAATACCCTCTATGATTTAAAAACTGTTCAAAACAGCATTTAAAAACTGTTTGGAGAACTAGGACAGTGTTGCAAGTTTGGAGGGTGATGTCAAAGGTGGAGTAAAGTTTAGCTCCCAAGATTCTTTGCTCAGTTTTAGACCATTTGCAAAAGAATGAATTCTATTATAGAAAAAAAAGTACAAGACTTAAGATTAATAAAATTTAAGTAACCTAGCACATTTTAAAGAATGCCAGAATTATTTTGAAATTTACCTTCTTTTAATGTCTTTCCTTAAAAGGGGGACCCCATGGCTTGAACTGTCCTCTTCATTCACTATCATTTCTGCAGGTCATCTCCTCACTCAGGGACACAAAGACAAGGTCAGCATACACATGTTTTATAAATGGATTTATGGAATGAAGAAAACAGGACAAAAATGGGTCTTTACTTTAAAATTTAATTTTTCTGTATTATGGAGGCTGAAGGTGTTATTAGACTTTTCTTTTTATCTTGAAGGGTTCAAATTGGAGAAAAAAATAGAAAACCTAAATGCAGGTTTACAGGAAGAAAAAAAAATGGAGAGACTTCCCTCAACATTTTAACACAGCCCAATGGATCATGTGTTCTAAATTAAATTTATGTGAAACAAACACAACAAAACCCCTTGCATTTCCTTTAACCAAGTCAGAACCTCTGACCGAGCGGAGTATGGAAGCACACAGCCTTTCACTTTTCCTTAAAAAGGAATGTTTATCTCAACCAAATTAAAATCCAAAGGGAAACCTTAGATTTGCGCTACTTTGCCTATAAAAGTTGCTGTTTTCAGTTATGCCTTTCCACATGGAGACACTTTTGTTTCTTCTTTTGTCTCTTACAACAAAGACAAGGGGGAAAATGCATTCCTGTTTTGAAAAGCAACAAGTCATCATTTCTCTTCAGGGTATTAAATCGACTAAAATACCCTTCTTTCTCTTGCCTTCCCCAGGAAAAAAAAAAGTAGCAGAAATATCTACTACTCCTCTCCTTTGCATCATCTCCAAACGCTGTCTTCATTTCTTTAGCATCCTCACATTAGGATTCTAGGAGGCAGGCCTCCCAAGACTTCTAAATGCTTATTTTACAAGACTTGAAAGGAGTAAAGGAAGAAAAACAGGCGGGAGGGGGCAGGGGAGGAGAGACTGTAATGTCTGACCCTGGAAATTAACCCATCTGGGCTCCAGTTTGGCCCCAGTGAAAAGAGATTATGGTTTGACCACCGCTTGACAAGGACACCGCAGGGAGTCCTCCCTTCTTACAACAAAGCCGCCGCCGCAGACAGAGCTGTACCTTTCACCCGGGCCTCACAGGAGTGAGGACAGGCTACTTGTCTTGCAGTAGGGGAATCGCGCACAGTCCCAGTTCAGCCAGAGCCGGGTGGAACTCACAGCAACCTCTACTAGTTCTCATTCTTCTCGATGGGCCCAGGTCGGTCCGTACCGTATGTGACTAACATTATCGTTATTATTATCATCATCATCCTGCAAGTCTTTGCTAGAAGTCTTTTCATTCAAACCGTCTTCCCACCCAGGCTTCCTTTCCAAATCCACCCCTCTTCCCACATCTACAAGTATCTTCTCACTTCCAGGTCACTTCTCATTGGAGGGGGAGGAGGTTACAGAAACAAGCCCCTCACCCAGAAGTT